GCAGCAGCAGCAGCAACAGCAGTTCCAGGCCCAGCAGAATGCACTGCAGCAGCAGTTCCAGGCTCAGCAGCAGCAGGCTGCAGCAATGGTACAGCAGCACCAAATGCAAGCCGTCCAGCAGCAGCAGCAGCAGCAACAGCAGCACTTGCTGAAAATACAGTTGCAGCAGCAAAGCCAACAGCAGGTAATGGAAGAGCAGTAAGCAAGGGGAGGTATTTTGAGGGGTCTGAGGTTCTTGTGAGTTGCAGCTCAGACTCCAAACCTGCAGTGCAGTTGTATGAGGCATCATCCAGGTATTTGTGCCACTTCTGTTCTCCAGGGATAGTGAGACATACAGAACTAAATAACCCCATCAGAGACCTGCTGGATTAATCATGATGGTCCATCTCCTTCAGTTTCCCATAGTGGCCAGCCAGATGCTTCCACATAGACCACAAACTGAGCCAGAAGGCAGTTAACCCTCCCCTTTATTTCCCTAACTGCTATTGCATGGTATGTTCCCTGTAAACACTGGAAATTTGGAAATATCCCCTTAGAACTCTTTGCAGTCCCTGTGTGTTTTTACCATCCTGAATAATGTTTGTCCAAAGAGCACTGGTCCCATAAAGATCCTTTGAGATCCTCAGCTCATTTCTTTCTATAGCAAATGCTGTCCATTTAGCCATATCCTTTGCTTTTTGAAACCAGTTATTAATCTATTATAAGACCTGTTATCTTACCGTATTACTGCTAAGTCTACTAAGGAACCTCTACTGAAGGATTTTGTCAAACTTTTTGGAAGTCTCAAATATAGCTTAAGTTTAAATTCATCCTTCCCTGAATGTTTACACTGTTGAAGAACTCCAAAAGATTGTTGAGACAAGAATTCATTTTCTTGAAGCCATGCCAATTCTTGCTCAACAAACCTTGTTCTTCTATGTGTGTCTTTAATAATGTGCTTTCCACTGTTTTACCTGGAACAAGTTTTCTGCTAACGGACTTATAGTTTCCCAGCTCCTTTCTCAAGTGTATGTAATCAAATCTCTTTTGTAGGCAGAATCATAATAAACCACCAGCTTTCCTGGTGAACGTAGTCCTAAGCTTGCTTTCTGGAAGGGAGGAAGAAAATGATGTGGAACATAAAGCTGTTAATCATTTCACTAGCAAACCTGATTTAGGAACAAGAGGGAAGAATTAAAATAAGGAGAATGTGCCACCAGAATTTGCTGTCCTTTAAAGAAGAATGTGTGATCTTTTAATTGTGTGTTTGCATGAATTCCACTTGAGTTGGACACTCTCTCTGCCTTCCTAAGATATTTTAGGAAGAGGGGGCAGAACAGACGGAGAGGGGGCAGAACAGACAGAACAAAGAAAGAAAACACCATCATACTGGATCATTAATGTTTTCAAATGGTTTCTCCACAAAGAAAGGAAACACCATCATAGAACAGAAACACAGGTTTTGTTACGTCAGCATATATGTTATCACATATAGAGAGCTTTAAATAAGAAAAAAATCCTAAAAAGATGCAGTTTTACATAGCTGTGATAATGAAACCTGAACTGTTTTACAATTTCAGGACCCCTGGTGAACAGGTTAGAGAGATGGATGTGACTCTTGAAACTTGTGTCCTTCAAATATTCCGGTTTCTAGATGCAGCAGCAGCATCAACTACAGCGACTTGCTCAAATGCAGCAGATACACCAGCAGGCAGCCCAGGCTATGCAGGCCCAGCAACAACAACAACAACAGCAGCAGCAGCAGCAGCAACAACAGCAGCAGCAGCAGCAGGCAATGCAGCAGCAGATGCAACAGCAGCAGCCACAGCAGCAGCAGCAGCAAGTGGCACAAGCTCAGCTGTCTCAGCTTCCACCGCAGCCAATGGTGTCTCAGGCACAGACAGTCCCAGGGCAGATTCCTGGGCAGATTCCTAATCAGAATCTTCTAACATTAACACCACAGCAATTAAAAGTCATACAGGTAAGTACTAAAGCAGAGGGTCAGCTGTAGAGAGAGCAGGCAGGTAGGGTGTTTTCAGGTCCTATATTCCATCCTCAGTACAGAAAACCCTGTTCTGCCAGAGACTTTAGAGAAGCAGCTGTCAATCAGAATAGACCATTCTGGGCTAGATGGATCAGAGGGATTAGGCAATTCCATCTACAGTCAGTATGAGTTTTTCAGTTCAGCTGCTTTTTTTTCAGCGCTGCTTACTGCTTGCCACTGTGTCACTTTATAGCTTGGCACTGTCTCTGTTCTTCCATGCAAAGCCCTTCAGGCCAGAGCTGTACAGGTGGCCTTGTGAGATGCTTGGCACAGCTTGCAAAGATGCCGTGCTTTCTTGTTACTAAAATTTTCTTAACCCATATGGTTGGAAAGTTTCTTTAAAATGTTCTATCTAAAGTGCCCACTGATTGGGGCGGCGGGGGGCGGCAAAGAAGTCAAAGTCCAGAAGAGATTTTAATCCTTGACTTCTACATGAATTGCTTTTCGTATAATTTTGAATGATGTCTTCTTACAATACTTGTCGAACAGGCAATAGACAGTTGTTGAACGGAAGACAATACCTGAAGACATTTTGTTCCTACATCAGATGCAGCCTCCCCAAGTAACTGACATCCTCTGCCTTCTTACACAGTGATCAAAGGTGGGGGTTTTCCAAGCAGGACCAAGAAGTCCCACACACATTTTTTGTGATACCACTGCATAAGGCAACGTACTGCTGAACAGGAAGATAGGACTTCCTGCATAAAACAGGATTCCCTTCCTTGAGTTTTACAGCTCTTATAACCTCCAAACCTGTATGTCAAGGCTTTAAGATCAGGGTTTCCTTTTTTATGAGTGACAATTTCAGAGTGCAAATGCAGACTACAGAATAACTGCAGCTGCCTTGTCTTTGGTATTTGTGGTACTTGTAAATTTAGACCAAATAGGGTAATCATGTGTTAATATACCAATGAACTGTAGCTTAAAGGAATGAACTGTAGCTTAAAGGCATATATTCCAAAGTGGCCCCCTCTGACCACATCTTCTGATAACTGCCCCTCTCTGTGGATATCAGGACTTTGCCATTAAGCCTGGCTGCCATTCCATATATAGACAATAGCTTTTGGTAGGCTTCTGTCAGGCAAGCAAATAGTTGTTTTTTAAATTATTATTATTTCAATGCAAACATGTACTCAGTATATATACTCTAACATATACATATATACACAAACCAAATTCCCCAGTACTTTTACAAGAAATCGTAATAAGCAAATTGGTATATATTTTTTCATTCCAAAAAGAAATGAATAATATCCAATATTTAGTAAATAAATCAAGTTCCATAGAGTTACTACTACTAGCTCTTAGATAGTATGTTAATTTAGATAATAGTGCAATAAGCCAACTCTTGTGAAACCACTCACTGATAGTTGGTGATTCTGGCTTTTTCCAGTTTATTGCAATAACCATCCTAGCTGCTATAAACTTAGTACTAATTCTGAATCCGAATCATCTTTATAACCTCTAAAAAAAAAAAAAACAGAATTAATTTTGATTCAAAAGTTGTTTCCCTACCCAGCATTTCATTAATATAATTTACCACAGTCTTCCAAAATGTTTGAATCTTAAGCAAGACCAGAAAATATGGAGCACATCTGCAGAGGAATGATTACATCTCCTGCTCTTATCCTCTGTTGTACTATATATAAGGGCTAATTTATGAGGAGTTAAGTACAATTGGAGAAGAAATTTATACATGATTTCTAGTCTAGTCTAGGAACAGCTCTTTCCCAAAGCCAAACCCCATTCCTCTTCTGTGATGTAATTTGCAAATCCTTTCTCTTTTTTCTAGTATTGCTTAATGGCCTACTGTCCATATTAAGTAGCCAAGAATGCAACAATGCAATAGCACCTTTGACATTACCAGAGAACAATAATTCAAAGGATGTTTTAGATCTTTTTTTTAAAATAAGATTTATTCCCTCTCCTAAAAAGGAGAGATATTTCTTTTAAATTCAGGAAAAAAAGGTGGGTATATAGAGGGATAAAGAAAAGAGTGAGTGGTGTTAATGGTATTAGTTTAGTTAGTCTGTTAGTACTCAAAGCACGCAATCCATAGTCTCTATCGTCAGACATCTTTCTGTTCTTCTAATTAGTGTAAAACAAGGTACTTAATTTGTTAGTAATGTCCTTCTGAGAGGGCCTTCTTCCAGAGTACAATCCGATAATTAAAAAGAAAAATCGAGAGTTTTTACACTTTGGGGTCTTTTCCTCTTTCTCTCAGTTTGTATTTTCCCGCCGCTCCTTCAGCATCCTCGTCCTTCACCTCTCCTTCTGAGCTGCTGTCATCCACGCTTAGTGTTGACATCCATTTGGCCAGAGCTGCTGCTTCTTCTTTACTGGCGTGCCTTTTAAAGAAGTCTTGAGCCTTAAAGATAGAGTCAATTTTTTCCCTTTTATCCTTAAATTTAAAAGTCAGTCCCAGAATGGTCTAATATTTAATTGAATTTCGATAAGCAAGAGGGGGTAACTTAGGATCAGCACCTTTGTATACCAAGGTCGTTCCCCAAGAGAAAGCTTAGATAAACCAGGCTGGTATTCAACTGGTAAGGATTTTATTGAAAATAGAGTAAGCTAAAGTAATAAAATGTCAAACATACCTACAAGTGCACTGAAAAAATCACACAGACCACTAAGAGGGAGATAAAAGGGATAAGAGGGCATTTCTAATGGGTGATATTTACCAATATTGAAGCTTCAATATTCATGCACTGCAATGGGCAATGTGCTGGTAAAAAGGTAAAGGTAAAGGTCCCCTTGCTCGAAAGCCAGTCGAATCCGACTCTAGGGTTGCGGTCCTCATCTCCGTTTCAAAGCCAAAGAGCCAGCGCTATCCGAAGACGTTTCCGTGGTCATGTGGCCGGCATGACTAAACACCAAGGCACACATAACGCTGTTACCTTCCCACCGAAGTGGTACCTATTTATCTACTTGCAATTTCTTGCTTTCGAACTGCTAGGTTGGAACTAGTTTTATACCCAAAAATGATAGTGTTGATATGCTTACAGGAAGCAGTTCCCAGAAACCTGGACAAATGATTAATAGCTCTCCCAGAGAGGGATCAAAGAATTTGGCGGCGCTTGATTGCTTCTCCAGAGCGGATAGCATCTATGGATGCCCCCTTGATATGCAGGATGAACTTCCAGGTGTTGTAAATATGCTAAGTGGGCAAATGGAGGAAGCATCAGTGTAGGCTCAGAACAGATTTCTTTAAAAAACAAACACATTTTGAATTAAATAGAAGACAGAGGGGGAGGTAATTTAGCGGACAAATATTTTCCGTGTGTCCTCAGAGTTACTAAGGCATAGAGCCCGCCACAATCACAAGAATGATCGCAATAAGCAATGCAATCCCAATGCCAAGTGCAGAGTGGGCTAGGTTCCGCGCCATCCTGGAGTTTTGCTTAGCCTCAAAGCTGTTACCCATCCGGTTGGCATCCCGAGTCTGAGGAGAAGGGAGAAAGGGAACAATGACTAAGGGAACAAACGACACCTCCAGCACACGGAAAAAAGGTGTTTCTGAGCTGTGGTAAAACACCGTGTTGGCTGACAAAAAAAATGTGGTATTCAATTGTGTTGATTATGTTTGTTGAATGTTAAAATAAAAAAATGTTAATATTAAAAAAAGAGAAACTTTTTGCTGTGTACTCAAGGATACGGTCCAAGAAAATATTCAGTAATAAAATAACTCTAGGTCATAGTTGACCTACATAGATATATTCCAAGAAGATGATTTCAGAGGGAAGCCGTGTTGGTCAGCAGTCGAATAGCTAGACTTGAGCCCAGGGGCACATCTGAGGAAGCTTCTACCTGGGAAATCTTGTTGGTTTCTAAAGGGCTCCTGGACTTGAACTGAGCAGACATATCCCAAAATACTCTTAAACCAGGAGCTGGGTATAGATGGGTCAGTGTTTCCTTCCCCACACAACCACAAAGCTGCTGGTCAGGCTGGAACTGTAGTAGATTCTAGCTGAGAGATTGCCATGGCCTTCACTGAATCCCCGAGGAAACTTACGTCAACAATCAAGTAAAAAAAAAAAAAAAGGAACAGAAAAACCTGTTTACCCGTCAAAGGATCTCCTGGAAAGCACCATCTTTACTGACTGAAGGGTTGCCAGCAATGTTCCCTCTAAGCTGTTGTGTCTTGTGAGCAAAAATTCTACTTTGTGAGCTGCTGGCATTAAAGTTGTGAGCGAGCGATTTGGCTGCTGCATACATTAGTTTAGTCTGGAGCCCTCCTTCCTGAGCTGAGACAAAAATGTATGAGCCGGAGGCTAAAAAACTGTGAGCTAGCTCACACTAACTCAGCTTAGAAGGAACACTGGTTGCCAGCTCCAGGTTGGAAATACTTGGAGGACCTGGGTGTATGTGTGTGTCACCTGAGGAGGGTGGGGTTTGGGGAGAGGAGGGACTTCAATGGGGTCTAATGCCATAGAGTCCACCTTCCAAAGGGGCCGTTTCCTCCAGATGAGCTGACCTCTGTCTCCTGGAGACCAGTTGTAATTCCAGAAGATCCCAGCCATCTCCTGGAGGGTGGCAACCCTAACTGGGTACCAGTCACCAGTAGAAGGATAGCAAGGCAAATCTCCCATGGGAAGAAGGTTCAGAGTCTCTTAATATGCCCTTCAGTCTGAGTCACTCAGGATGCAGTCAGACGGCGTGCTGAGAGCGGGTTAAACTGCTCCGGTTCTTTTTTTTTTTTATAGTATTTTTAATTGTTTTCCACAGAATTTTATACATAACACCATCCACATTTTATACATAACACCATCCACACCCCACCACCGAACCCACCCAACATATGACAAACATGAGAGACCAACAAAACATAAAACCCATCACAACAAAGTCAGATCTCCTCCTTCTTTCCCCGTCATAGATCTTCTGGTTATATCATCAATTTTGTTCCAGCCATTTATAGACTTGTGACCAAACATTCTGAAATACTGTATTCATGTTCCCATTCACTTTTTGTGTTAAGTTGTCCATTTCTGCTACATCAATTATTTTACTTATCAACTCCCCTTTGCTTGGTACCTGTTCACTCTTCCAACACTTTGCGAGTAAAACTCTCACTGCTGTTAATATATGCAAAATTATATATTTTTCTTTTTCCTTCCATTTATCGGGAAATATATTTAAAAGGAACACTTCAGGGTCTAACGGGATTTGTTTTTTAGTTATTTGCATTAGCATCGTTTGCACCTCCTTCCAGTATTGTTTCACCTAATTACATGTCCACCAGACGTGATAATACGAGCCCAGCTGTATCTTAAATTTCCAGCATTTGCCATCTAAACCAGCATATATTCGGGCTAACCTTTCAGGTGGCATATGCCACTGATGAACCACTTTAAAAACGTTTTCTTTTAGTGCCACTGCTTTTAGCCATCTTGTGTTTCCCCATATCTTCTCACACTTCAATATATCAATCTCATAGCCCAATTTCCCCCCCCATAGCTTCGTAGTTGCTTTCATAACCTCATCTTGCATCTCTTGCTTTAGGAGAAAAGAGTATATCTTATCTATCATCTTGACATCTTCTAAAAGAATTTTATCTAACTCCGATCTCCCAGAGACGAAACCAGTCCGTTTATCTTTAGCATATTTGGAACTTAACTGGTTTCTTTCCCACCATGATAGTTGTAACCTGTTGTAACCGGATTATATTTGGTCTGGATAATCGCAATCACACTTACCTCCCTTATCCTGCCTCACCATGCGGGAGTGTGTGTCGGCAGGTTTTTTCCTCAGTTTGCGCATGCGCATAGGCACTCATCTGTAGAATGGGGGGAAGCGGAACTACCATGGTGCATGCACAGAACCACTAGGGTTAATCAATCCAACCCCTCCAACAAAAGACTTCCCTTTAAACGTTTGACCTGAAAATGGCCTCCATGAGATCCCTAACGCATCTAAACTCTAAAACAAGTGACCGTTTAAATGTCGGTTTTCTAAACACGGCAGCGGAGCTCCGCCTATGTGCGCACCGCCAATGCTAAAAAAATGGTGAAAAGCGGAAGCCTCAGGCAGCTTTCGAGCGGGGAAGGGGTTTAAACCGGAAGTGGCTTGACGCCGGAGGAGGGATCACACAGGGGGGAAATGCGGCTTTAAACAGGAGAGCTGAGAAAACACCACTTCGGGACCTGGTAACAAAGCAGTTTTGAGCTGGAAACCCAACGGCTGGGGACGGGAGGCAGATGTTGACTGTGTGATCGTGCATATAAAATCCGTTGCTGAACTGTCATGACAACAGATCAAACGGGACGTCTGAACGCACCCTCAGAGTCTCTTAATATGTTCAGCCTCAGTCAAGGGAGGTCACAGGGTTGCCAGCCTCCAGGTGGAGCCTGGAGATCTCCTGCAATTACAACTGATCTCCAAACTACAGAGATCAGTTCCCTTGAATAAAATGGTTGCTTCAGAGGGGGGAAACGGACCTGTACGGCGTCACAGCCTTGCTGAGCTCCCTCCTTTCCTCCTAACCCACCCTCCCCAAGCTTTGGCTTGCTAAGTCCCCCCCGGGGGTGGGGAAACCCCCGCCCGAGAAGCCCGTTACCTGCCGCTGGTGGATCGGGCCCTGGGGGAAACCCCACCCCCAAAGCACGCGACATGCCCGGCGTCAGCATGTCACCCGGAAGTGATGCAATCACGTCGGGCACGTTGGGGGCGGGGCCACAGTCATCCAAGGGAAAACTCTATGGTTTTCCCTCGGATGATTGTGGCCCCGCCCCCAACGTGCCCGACGTGATTGCATCACTTCCGGGGGCTCCCGGAACAAGACTGGACTCTCCCGCTCTTACAGGTGAGGACTTGGCAACCCTACCCAGGCTCCACCCCCAAATCTCCATGCATTTCCCAACTCAGAGCCGGCTAGGAGGGCATTTGGCACATGCTCTGAAGCACACTCCAGCCAGCCTGAAAATACCAGGTAAAAACCCAGTCCCACCGAGGGTTGCCAGCTCTGAGCTGTGAAACACCGTTTTTTTGGGTGGTGGTGGTGGAGCCTGGGGAGGGTGTGGTTTGGGGAGTGGCAAGACCTCATCAATGTACGATGCCTCAGAGTCCACCCTTCAGAGCAGCCATTTTCTCCAGGGGAACTGAGCTCTATTGACTGGAGAGGACTTGTGATTCCGGGAGATTTCCAGCCCCCACCTGGAGGTGGGAAACTCTAGACTCCCACTTGATTGAATGCTTGGCATGGAGTGATATAGAGCAGGATTCTGTGTTACAAAAAGCCTGGCTGCTACCAAGACATAGCCACTGTCTGATTTTCATGGCAGTCCGCTTTGTTTCGCTCTCCTTAGCATTAGAGGCAGGTCCAGCTACCTGGGAGGCCTGGAGTCAGGTTCCCCAGTAAGAGTCATGTGGGACAAATCGTACCGATGAGCCATTTCTCAAGCAGAAATTGGACACACAACTGTTTAAGTCCTATCAGGGTTTTAAAAAGACTTATCTAATGTGCCACTTCAGTTTAGATAAAAGACCACCGAGGGGGGACGCGATACAGCAGACAGTTTCAGAACATGTTGGTCTCTCATAGAACCAGGGGTCATTTCCTGCAGGAGTGCACAGGAGTGGAGCTCCGGCAGTAAAGAGCCCAGGGGGCGGGCACATGCAACAAGCCCCACCCCTGTTCCCAGCAGCCCTCAGTCAGAGCAAGAATCAGCCAGGTAAGTTGCAGAGCTCCCCCTGGCCCCCCGGTCCAAAACAGCCCAGTGGCACCTTTAAGACCAAGTTTTATTCAGGTACAAGCTCTCCGTCCTCTGTGGGACAGATCTGCCCATTCCCCCCCCCCCAATAGCTAGCAACCCAAAACAGTCCAGGGGAGCCTGAGGGGGGGGGGTTGGACACACTTCCGGTGATGTCGGGGTGTGGCATATGCAAATAAGTTATGCTAATGAGTTAGGCTAATGAGCTCCTGCACCTCTTTTTCTACGAAATGACCCCTGCGTAGAACAATTAGATTCTGGAGTTTAACTGGAGCCCCTTAGAGACCAACAAGAGTTTTATGGTATGAGCTTCTGAGGGTCAAAGTGTTGGAAATGTATGTGTTTACAAGCTCTGACAATTCAGTCATTATAGGGTTAACTTGTTTGCCTAGTATTGCTATTGTTTAGACGGACCTGGAAGGGATACCTGGCACTGAGCCAAGGGGGAATTAGCCCGGGAAAAGTAGCTTTCTACTGTGATACAGATTGGTCGTTTGTTTCAGGTGACTTCCTTTCTAGGGGTCAAGAAGAAGGAGAGATTCTCCATTAGGAGAGTTTGAGTAGGAGCTGCCACGACTGTTACCATCTGTCTACGACTATCACTATCTGTCCTAGCCCTTATTACCAACTCGCCGTGAGTGCAAAAATGGTGGTACTGCGTGGAGCTGTGGCCACTAAGGATACTGTCCTGATGACATCATCTGTTCCCTTGTTAGTTATTGTGGAGAGCACC